GATAGATAGATAGATAGATAGATAGATAGATAGATAGATAGATAGATAGATAGATAGATAGATAGATAGATAGATAGATAGATAGATAGATCACAATAAACAGGACCTTAAACAGATTGGTTGTGTTTAATTTGCTCCTTTTTATTTGATTCAATCTGCTTCAGATTTGATAAATATGTTTAAATTATAGTAATAATTTAGTTCTTTTTTAATGAAATTAATACATTTTTTGAATTGAATTTTTTTACCAAAGTATGAAATTAAAACACTAAAAACACAAGTTCCTGTTCTTACTTTGATTTGAAACATCCTGTTCAGTCTTTGTGTTTAACGTACGAGTTTCTGCAAATAAATTTTACAAAACCAAAACCATTTAAAGCTACTTGTGTAGCACTACTCTGCTGTCACGTTTCACTTCATTCAGCTCAGCATACAGACCATCTGTCCAGTTCAACAACAACAGTGTGAATGTGCTGCTGATCTGGGACAGCAACACAAGAAMACTAATAAACTCTGCAGCATCAAGGACAGAAACGGTGAAAAAATGTGTTTAAAATTCATAMAAAACAAAACCCAGCAGAGTAATATCTTCAGTTTCTGCCTGTCAGGACAGAATACAGTAATCTGTGGAATAAAATCTTCATTTTCACTCATTTGTCTGTGCAGCGTCTGTAGAAGTTGAAGTAATAATCTGTGAAGAGCGCCCCCGCGTAGTGATGGTCGGTACTGCAGTCGGCTTGACCCTGGAGAAAAACACCGTCACTAACTGGATTCTCTTTCATTCTGATTTCCTTTAAATTAAATCTTTAAATTAACTTCTATCCCCTCTAAAAGACACAAAAATGATGTTTGATTGTTTTCTTATAAAGGAAAGTAAGTTGTTTCTTACAGCCACGGCAGAGCGAAAGTGATAAAAGCTGCGATAAAACCGAGCCACGTGAAGAGGCCACTCATGTTCCCCCTGCAGAAACACAGAAACTCTCTTTACTTTATTTCACACAGTAAAATATCATCATTATAATCGACGTGGTGCTGGATGTTAAACACTTAAATCTCTAACAAACTGAAGCTAATTCAATCTCAGCTTATGTCAAAACATAAAACTGTTTAAATTTTAGGAGAATAATTAAAGAACATATTAATTCAGAATTTAAATGAGCTTTAGGTGAACTGCTGGTATTTACCTGAGTATTTGATGGGTACCTGCTTCCAGTGAGTGTGTTTTTATCCATCAGAGAAGAACAGGTGATGGGTTCATCTAAATCACACAGATGGACCACCAACAGCTCTGTAGAACTGAACAAATGGTTAAAACAGGTTTAAAACATGTTGGAATATTTTTACATTTAATGTCAAGTTTCATGTTTTTAAGCCGGAAAAGATTCACTTCAAGGCTAACATGCTAACAGCTGTTTTTATAGGTAAATAAACATGGTATTCAAAGCTAACAAGCTAACGGCTGTCTTAGAAATTATAAAAACAATATTCAATACAAAGCTAACAAGCTAACGGCTGTTTTAGGAATTAAAAAAACAATATTCAATACAAAGCTAACAAGCTAACGGCTGTTTTTATAGGTAAATAAACATTTTCTTCAAAGCTAACAAGCTAATGGCTGTTTTAGGAATCATAAACAATATTCAATACAAAGCTAACAAGCTAACGGCTGTTTTTATAGGTAAATAAACATTTTCTTCAAAGCTAACAAGCTAACGGCTGTTTTAGGAATCATAAAAATAATATTCAATACAAAACTAACATGCTAACAGCTGTTTTTATAGGTAAATAAACATGGTATTCAAAGCTAACAAGCTAACGGTTGTTTTAGGAATTATAAAAACAACATTCANTAAATAAACATGGTATTCAAAGCTAACAAGCTAACGGTTGTTTTAGGAATTATAAAAACAACATTCAATACAAAGCTAACATGCTAACAGCTGTTGTTACAGGTAAATAAACATTTCCTTCAAAGCTAACAAGCTAACGGCTGTTTTAGGAATTATAAAAATAATATTCAATACAAAACTAACAAGCTAACAGATGTTTTTATAGGTAAATAAACATGGTATTCAAAGCTAACAAGCTAAAGGTTGTTTTAGGAATTATAAAAACAATATTCAATACAAAGCTAACAAGCTAACAGCTGTTTTTTATAGTTAAATAAACATTTTCTTCAAAGCTAACAAGCTAACGGCTGTTTTAGGAATTATAAAAAATAATATTCAATACAAAACTAACATGCTAACAGCTGTTTTTATAGGTAAATAAACATGGTATTCAAAGCTAACAAGCTAACGGTTGTTTTTGGAATCATAAAAACAATATTCAAAACAAAGCTAACATGCTAACAGCTGTTGTTACAGGTAAATAAACATTTCTTTCAAAGCTAACATGCTAACGGCGGTTTTAGCAATCATAAAAACAACATTTTATTCAAAGCTAACAAGCTAACGGCTGTTTTAGGAATCATAAAAACAATATTCAAAACAAAGCTAACATGCTAACAGCTGTTGTTACAGGTAAATAAACATTTCCTTCAAAGCTAACATACTAACGGCGGTTTTAGCAATCATAAAAACAACATTTTATTCAAAGCTAACAAGCTAATAGTTATTTGAAGAGCTATGCTAACAGTCAGCCATGTTAGCGTCTCCAAAGTTTAACAGGTGAAACAGATCAGACCAGACTGAGTTTCTTCAAGCTCTTTTGAACCAGATGTTTTCTGTCAGGTCTTACTTCATGAGGAGGGTGACTCTCATGTTGACAGGAACAAACGGGCTGACAGGAACTCTGAAGACGTATCGATCAGGCCTGAAGAAACAAACATTTTATCAGCTGTTTGTCAAGCTAAACGTGGAAACACTGAAGTGTTTTGTTTCATTTTACTTTACTATATACCACCTGTTCAGGTTTTAGCTGCATTTTCCTCTAAAATGTTCAAATGACATCGTAATAATAAAACTTGCAGATACAGATCAGATTTCCTTCACTCACCCACATTCATCTCTCAGGCAGTATCTGCTGTCAATCACCTGCCGGTTCTCTTTAATCATAAAAGTATGGATGGTGGTATTTTTCCCTGACAAAAAGTCAAATTTAAACCAAAAATAAAGATTTATTACATAAACGTCTAAAGACATCAGTGAAGAACTTTTGAAATTAGGACTCACAGTCTCTGGCCCTTTTCAGCTGACGTTTATGTTTCTCTGCTCTTACAGCTGTATTAAAAACATCACATGTTAAAACTTTACAGTCGACTTGAAGTTAGAAGAACTACATTTAGTGGAAGCTAATTGGTACGCTAACAGTTTCCAAAGTTAGCAAAAATGCTAATGTGCTAAACAATGAGTTAGCTTGGCTGTTAGCGATTAGCGTAGCTGTCCCCATAACTGTTACCTGTCGTCACCGCTGCGTCGGTGGCGGTGACATTGGAGTCAGTGCCGCCCCCTGCAGGTGAGGGGCAGCAGTACACCTGGTTGCAGTACAGCAGGTCGCAGAAGTCCACATCAGGAGGCCAAGAACCAGGAGGTCTGGTCCACAAGACTGGAGCAGGGAGCAGAGAACGTCTCTTAAAGCTGATGTACGTGATAATCTGTCATCTCAACATACGTCTCATTTTAGGTCACCTGTGGTGGTTGAAGCTGTCGTCAGGGCAGGAACTTCACTGCTGTTACTAAAAGACAGAGTGAAGAAGAAAAAATAAAACCCTGCTGCCAGTGGTGGGCAGCGCTGCTCTGAAACTTAGCTGCACTAACCCTAAAGCACTAACTTCAGTTTTTAGGTCCCCTAGTTCGAAAGCACTAACACACTTAAAAATTTAGCAAAAGCTAACTAAAGCAMTAAAAACCCAGCTGAGTCAACATGAGACAATATGTACTGTGTGCAAAATATTGTTAATATTTCATCTCTAGTAGTTAATTAAGTAAGTAAAGTTTTATTTATAAAGCACCTTTCACAGAAATAGATTGACAAGGTGCTGTCCAATAATYAACAATGTAAAAATGTCAGGAAGACAAAATAAAACACAATAAAAGATAATAAAACAGAACACAAAGCAACATAATGAAACATCAAAAACAGGATGAAAAAGCGACACACATGACCAACATGTCGGACAGCGTTCACCCTCAGCTGCTGACAATACTGTTCATCAATAATATTTAAACAACTCAATTAGTGCTTATAAATTTAGCCCATAAATTYAGCAAGTGCTAATCCACTAAAGAATTAAGAAATTAGCAAAAGCCCTRAAGCACTAATCAGGAAATTAGTTCCCCTATTAGTGCTTTAGTGGAMCTGTGCCCACGACTGCCTGTTGGAAATCATGTGTGTAAACGTCCGTATTGAAGCTAAAGAGAGCAGAAATCAAAGAACAAGACGAGCTCACCTGTTGTCTGAAGGAAGGTCAGAGTGTCCGTTTTTTAAAATCACCAGGTAAAACGTTGAGATGGAGATCAAACTGCACAGAAACAACAAACAGGTCTTTAAAGTGCCTGTGACAGATACATTTAGCTGTAAAAATAAATACACTTTTGTTAAACTAACATAGAAAACACACTGCTAAAAAAATCACGCTGCTGAGACTGACAGTTGTTGAGATATTTGTACGTGAAGAAACAGGAAGTGATGTCGAAGGGGAACGTGTGCGTGTGAACGTAGCATCTGAATTCTTCAGATTTAGATTTAAAGTTTTTATCAGAGAGATGAAGAAGAGTTAAAGGGAGTTTTCTTCTTAAAGAGTTCCCCTTTGATGTCACTTCCTGTTCCACTTGGGCTGAGGCAAGTTCAAAAGAAAAAAATGGCAGTTATGTGAGAAAATGGATAAAACCATGTGGATTACGGTGTTTTCTCTGACTTCTTGTAAGTGAAGCAAATGCAGGTCAGGCACTTTAAACTTTAGTTTTTATTTTTAAATCTAAAAATGTGAAAAAGGAAGTCGTTCTCACCACAAAGCCATGGTGAGCAGCAGGGTGAAGACGCCGGCCTGCAGGAGTTTATTCTGCACGCACCGTTTGTGTTTCTGACGCCGGCTCTTCGGCTGGTTTCTGCCGGGCTTACAGGACTCTGGACCTGCTGAGGTGGACCCACTGGGCCGTCTCTGAGGCTTCCTGTTGGAGGATCAGAATTAATCCCTTCACAGATGAAAGGGTTAGGATGATTCGGACAGCGGCAGGTACCCAGCGGAGCGCAGGCTGCCCGTCAGGCTCTTCAGCTTGGCGAGGCGCCGGTTCCACACCTCCAGCTCTTGGATGCGAGTTTCCAGGTCGTCGGTGAGTTTTGACAGGTGCTGAACGGCCCCGACGTTCTCCATGAAGATCTGCTCCTGCAGCGGGGGGGCGGAGCTTTGTTCAGAGCGGTACACAGGTGAGGTGAGGTGAGGAGGTGAGGGAACTACCTTGTCCACCATGAGGAGGTTGTGTATCCTCTCTCCGTCTGAACACACAACATGTCCCACCTCTCTGACCGCAGACGGCAGCAGCTCTTTGACCTCCTGAGCGATCACTCCTAAAACATTGATTGATTGATTGATTATTCAGTCAGCCATAAAGAACTATATCATTAATTGTTGTTTTGTGTGTAGAACTCCACACTTCCACACAATAAGATATATAAGGAAGTATAAGTGAAGAGTAAATAATATGCAAAGCTTC